CTCATCCAAGCAGTCACTGCAGAGTCGGTAACAACTGAGCGCAGATTAAAAAAAAAAAAAATATGAACCTAATCAGGATCTTAAAATATAAATTACTGAAAAACTATCATATAGTATAAATCCATGTTTACTCAATCACCAAGATAACTTGTTTGTACCACGGTTTCTCCTCTTTGATGCAGGAGACATACAGAAATAATTCCTGGGAAGAAATGTGATATGTTATTGTTATAACATACTTGGTAACAGTATATTGTAGTACATTAACAGCCTATACAAAGATTACACCAAAACAAACAAACCTCCCCCCCCCAAAAAAAAGGAATAGTAGCAATTAGCTTTGCAAATACTTACTTCTGATGAGATCACCATCACTGCAATTTCCCCAGACCGGCTGGTCCTGTATATCTACTTGTATGTTTTGATTATATGAATGTTCTGGTATCCTTCTCTCTCCTACGGCTGTTTTGTCTTCATTCTTGTTTTCTAAACAACAACAGAGCATTAAGCTATAATTAACATTTTATTTTCTTCTTCCATTTTCAACTTTACTTCAAGAATTTCTAACAGCATTAACAATTTAAAAATGTGATGGTTTAAGGTGACACTAACATGTTTACAATTACCATTTATGTTTCAAAACTCCAAGAAATTTCAATGTAAGGCACGTCTTACAATCATTGGACACAAAGGGTAAAGATGTTGCCCAGCTGCGTTTACTAGATGGCAGTACAAATGCCATACATCCCTAGTATTAGTCTTTCAGATCAACGTTGGTCTGAGAAGAAATGGATCCAGGCAAACATTTACTGTAATAAATGCAGTTTCACCGATCACTTGATAGGTAGATACTTTAGGAATTTATAACTGATACACTTTACAAAGAACAGTTTTTCACCAAAATTCAATTTGCTACAGTTGTTCAGAAATTCAACAGATCTATAATCTATCCACAATCACTTCCTACACACAATCTTTTTCTCATGTGCATTGCAAAAGAAATCAGAAATGTTATAAATGACTTGAGATACCATTTTTGATCATGGGAAGGCAGTTACCAGTTTACATCAATAGATCAACCATTCTAAGACTATGAGAAATTAGAAGGAATCTAAGTAAGTGGAAAGAACATCACACTCCATTAGAAAATGAGTCTGCACTAAAAGACAAACTGTTTAATAGTATATTATAGCAAAGGAGGGAAGATTAACTCACAGGCAAAGTTGTGAATATGTGCAGCCTATAAAAGGAAGATGGAATCACAAGGCTTATTAGAAGATTTCTGACCTGAGCTGCTACATGTGGCATCTTCCTAACCAGTGCCTCATTAGACTGGCTGAGGAATAGTACATAAAAGGGAGTGAATGAGAGAATGAATGGGAATTGATTATTGAAACTGTTTAAATAAACCCATTTCTTTCATTACTTATATTTTATGTCTATGGTCTCATATCTACTGTTGCTTATGAACCCAAACCTTTCAACTTTGATCCCTCAGTGTAACCACCTCTACATCTCAAAGTAAAAAAGGGCACTCAGGTTACACACCAGAATTTTTGTAATAGAAACACCATGCTTTTCAAGTTTCTCCTTCCTTATTTCCTAGCTATCCTTTGCAAAGTTTAGCAATTGTGTGTGCACTTCAGCAATTAATTTGCTAGCAGAGGAATTCAAGGAGCTGAAATTTAGACTTCTGGATACAGCCCAGATTAAAGAAGGCTACCTTATACTACTTGAGGGTAACTCACACTAAAAATAATGCCTCTCTGTGTAGGCATTACTCCTGATACAGGCAACTGTGTCCTGCACCAAGACACCCTGAGGCATCAGAGTACTCTAGTAAGAATGCTTATCTTGGTCCAGATAGGTTCATTGCCAATACACCAGCCTAAACTCAGCAAAGATGTTCCTTGTCACTGATGTTACTTTTGATAAATTGGAATCATAAAAACCACATAACTTATAGAGGCCATTTAGACCATTAAGTTCAATGCTCAGTGCAAGAATCCAAATTAAAGCAACTCTTACAGATGGGTATCTAGCTCTTGCTTGAACACATCTAATGAAAAGGAACCATCTTCTCTCTCAGTAATAGCTTCAACTGTCAAACTATTTATACTGTCAGGAACATTTTTTCCCCCCCTAATATTCAGTTAGAATCTGTTTTACCTTCGACCCATTGTTCAGTGGCACATAATATGGAACAAGTAGAGAGAACAGGTCTTGCAGGTTTTGTGATAACCTCAAGTATCTGAAGAGTCATATAATATCCATCTTCAACTGTCTGTTCTCAAGGCTAAATATATCTATATCCTTTAATTTCTCTTTAAAAAAATTAATTTGTAGTTTCCAGCTCATCTTTACTGCCTTTCTATAAATTTGCCTCCATTTCACTGAATACTCCCTGAATTGTGGTGCTCAGAACAGGACATAGAACTTGAGGCTGGTCTAACTAAAGCTTATCAAAACATCCTGGTCCATGAGGTGCATTTTTGAGAATGTGCCCTCACAACATAGTCTCCATCTTGTTGTGTCAAAGGTGTACCAACATGAAAGTAGAGATTTCCTTGCTATTGCAGCAGAACACTTCCCAGTCTAGGGTGGATAACAGGGCTCCAACTGGCTTGGTAAGTCTGCTATAGGACCATCCCTTCCATGCAGTCACTGGTCTCTTTGCCTACAAAGCCATTTTGGCTACAATTCTGAGACATACACCTTGCTTACACAGCCTATTTCTTTGAGGGTGGGAACCTGTCAAAAACAGGAATATTAACATCATGTAAGACCAAATGCAGGTCTGTCGGGAAGTTGATATTCTCATTGGTAAGAGAAGAAAACGTTCTACAAAAAAGAAATATGAGTACAATGTATGAGTTGCAGTTGTCATTTGAGAAATAACTTCCTTTATGAACACCACCAAAAAGGGACCTTCAATTTTATCCAGTATGCTAATCGTATTAATTTAACCTGAGTATGTGGTAATTTAACCCAAGACCACTCAGAATGGGAGGCAATCAGTAGCTGCTGGTGGAATTCTGCAAATGATCTGATTAGAAACTTTTATCACTCTTTCAGCGACCTTCAAGTGGCACTTAAAACAGTCTTCTGGACCTTATTAATAAGGTGCTTTCCTTGGCTTTTTGACAGCCCCTTTCCTTGGAGCCACAAGCACTGCTGCTGGTAACACATATCATCAAACTCACTGGACAGTCTCCACTTGCTAAACAGAAACTGAGAAGGAAGGAATTTCAGAAAACCAGGGACTGTCTGTGTGCCATGCCCGCCAGAGGTAACTCTTTCACACTCAATTGTTGGTAACATAGGACTAGAGAAGAAAAGGTAGCAAGAGACACACCAATCACTACTCTGAAAATATCCCATGTTACATTCTGTGAGGGCAGCAACGCTCATACCAACATACTTACTTTCCATCTCAAGGGTGGGAGGAAGCATATTACCATTATTGTTTGGAAGAGCCATAGAGTAGAACAGAATGAAACAGTTATTTGCCATGATTTGGAAATTATATTTCTATGGATACAGCTTAAAACTGCATTTGCCTTCTTTGCCACATTACTGTACACTCAGACTGCAACCAAGATCCTTTTTTGCAAATACTAATAGCAAGCCTGGTACTTCCCATCCTGGAACTATATATTGGATTTTTTTTCCCATTAGTGAATAACTTTGCACTTGTCTGTGTGGAAGTTACGATTATCTTCAGCCATTTCTACAACTTCTCAAGCTATATATCCACTTAATTATCATGACATCTAGCCTGCACTTAACTAACTTGCTATTCAACATATCATGCAGAACCCAAAAGTCACACACCTGGTCCTTCAGAGGGATCTCTGTCTCATCCAGTACAGACCATCTTCCTCATTCCCAAGCCTGAAACCACATATTCACAGTTTCTGGAATCTGCTCTCTGGATTGTTTGGTCTGTAGGCTCTCATCTAATCCATCACAGCTTCCAGACAACTGACAAGCACCTATACAGCACTCTTGATTCAGCCAGAAAGGTTTTATAGCTGAGACACTGGCCTAACTTCTTACAAGCATCTCAACCATTTCCTGAGTTCATAATAACTTTAACTCTGATCAGATGCCACCCCAGAATTTTCACGGAATCGGCAATCATTGTGGCTTTTAATTTGAAACAGATGCAATAAACTTCTAAACGTATTGCAAATCTATTACAATAGGCTACTTAACAGTCAGCTGAGTTTGTTTCAAGAATAGCCAGGCCACTGCTCAAGTAGTTTACTGAGGATGCAGTGAAGATGGAGAAGAAAGCCCTCTTGCCACTGCATACTAGTAACAACTAGTAACATGGCCATTTTGGCCTGTGCTCTTGGTCATATTTTTAGAATTGCATCTCATTACAAAAATGATCACATATATACAGATTTGTCATAAGAAGAGAGAGAAGCATGGAGTGGGAAAGAATGTCAAAAGGGAGGTGAGAAATAGTGAGAATTACCAATAGTTTTCATAAATAAAGCAACAGCTGAGCATAGCACAGACTCTAGCACATGTAGCAGCAGAATTCTTGATCTTTAAAACACTATTTTAATTCTTCAGAATTCTGATTCCAGTGTTTAATGTTGAAATCTGATGTTGTAATTCCCTTTCTTGAAGTCAGTGATAGAGAATTCTGGTGAGCTGAAATGCTCCCCAATGGTTTCTAAATATTGCATATAGAAAATCAGACTTGTACTAGTTTATTCTTCTGTATAAAGATTAGCCAGTTTGCCCCATACAATATCTGGTGGAGCACTGCTTATGTGATCTACACAGGAGGATAAGAAATGTGAGCAATGTTAAAGGATCTATTACGACTGTTACCAGAGTAGGTTCAAGGTCAGAGTTGGCATCTGAAACTGGCCAACGGGGGGGGGGGGGTTGTCTCTATAACACTGTGCCATAGTCTGTTGTTACTGGCCAGCAACTGTTCCAGATTAGGATATTGTTGCAAGCAAAAGGGAAGCATCATTGTCCAGGATGGGCCACAGATGGGCTGGTGCATTTGAATGGTTTTCACTGAAAACTATAGGCAGTATCATGAAGCCTATATTTTCTTCTCCAGGTTTGTCTTACAGTAGGTTATTCATGGGAATCACTATGGCCCTTCTGATCTGTCACTGATTAGGAACTGTAGTTTAAAAAACACCCAGTTTAAATTCCTTTATTCATTCAATTTTTATTAGCAAGTACCAATAAAACAATATACCAACAAGCCAAAGTAGCACATTCAGGTTTTTTTTTAATAAAAATGTATTAGGTTTAAAACAAGAATAAAATACACAGAGACATCAAAGGAAAAGCAGAAAAGAAAGAAATAGATAAAGAAATGTGAAGGAGAAAGAAAAAAATGGGGGAGGAAAGAAAAACAGAAAAGAAGAAAAGAACAACTTCCGACTTTCTTCGGTACAATTGTAAGTAAAATAATACATTAACTTCTTACTCTAATAATATCAATA